AAATCTTTTCTATAGATATTACCGGAGATGGGATCGAACCCCTCTACCAACAACTGTGACTGGCTTTGGTAGTGGCTCTTAATAGTTTTCATCATAGTTAGGTTATTATCAGAATATAAATATATTTTTAAAAATAAAATCACATTAACTACAACTTAAAGTTACAACTACTTAAATATTCAAACACTCCCTGTTTTGATAAAAAAAAGTTATCTCTTTAATTTTGAATCGCGTTAAGATTATCACTAATATTTATGTCAAACTTTTCCAAATTATTAACTATTTCAATTATTGAATGCAAGGAGTTTTTTTTTTTTTAATACAAGGAGTTGAAATAAAGATTCGTAACCTTAGTTATTAAATATTTATTCTTCTGTACTACTATTATAAAGAGAATATATTCAACTCATAGAGTGTGTTACAGTGTTTGGGCAATTAGCATAATTAATAAAAAATATGGATAAATATATTAGTAACATAATATCATTAGTTAAACTTAACGATCAAATTATGTGCATTTAAAAAATAATAAATAAATATAATGATAGTAATTTACCAAAAATAAATAAATATAATGATAGTAGATAAATAATAAGGGCAATAACCCCATAAAAGTAAATAATCCAACCCTTGATTATTTATAAAATTAAAAAGTAGAGCATAATATATATGTAAAACTTGAGTTATCTTATATAATAACTTCAATGTATTTTTAAATAAACAACAATATATACTATATAAATAAAAATAACAATACTTCTTTTAAAAGTAGATAATGATTATTAATAGAAAAAAAGAATAAGAACGGTGGATAATCATCAGAATCTGTATCTATAAAACAAAAGACATTTAAATTTCAAATTGGTGTAAAGATAAATCTACTAACTATAGCAATAAGAAAGAGTTATCTCTTTGTAACAAAAAAACAAAAAGAAAGAGTTATTTCTTTATTTTTGAATTCTGTTGAAATTACACTCTAATATTTGTTTCAATCTCTTTCCAGATTATCGGCTATTTAGATTATTGAAATACATGGACTTTTTTTTTCAGTGAATTCTGAATATATTTTGAAATTAAGTTTCGTAATCTTATTTATAATCTATCTGATCTTCTATGCTACTGTTACAAAAAAGACTTATTCAAATAAACACACATTACATTGAGTAAACAACTAATAATAATGAGAGTTTCACAATTTAATTATAATTATTGCACACAACAAGAAAAACAAGTGGAGAATGTTTTATGTTTTGTATCTTTAAAAGAAACTACATGATTCCAAAAGAAGGGGCTTGTTTAGATAACCAACACAATTAATTCAAAATTTGGATAAACATCGGTAATAATAGATCTTATCTAATTAAGTGTAAAAAAAATTATCCGTAGTATAAATTATCTCATGTAAAAAATAAATAAATATATTTATCAGGTGGAGGATTTCTCCGGTCAATGGAGATAAGTTATCTTCGGTGATCCCAAAACGATGTCGTTTTCAGATGAAAATCAAAGTGTGTTTGTAATTTTAATATATTGCAGAGTGATATTAGTCTTTGCCATTATAATTTTTTAATTTTATAACCAAAACGACGTCGTTTTGAGACCGAAGATAATTTTATCTCCAGTGACGAGAGAAACACTTTTCTCATATTTATAATAATAAAATTATTCTTTCTCTCTCAGCCACGTCAGCCGACAATATTTGAGGAAAGAGAAAAATAAAGCAATTTTAATATTATAAATATGTATTATCCGTAGTATATAATTATTTTTTTCATGACATAATTTGTTTCTAACAACATAAGAAAAAGATTTTGTGAATATTCTCTCTTTGATCCAATAAGTTAAGGGATAGGATATTGTGACACACAAATAATGTTACGCACAATGTTACGACCACATCTTAACCGTTGATTTCCGCCAATCAACGGTTATCATTTTTTTCAAATCAAACTCATTAATTAATTATTAATTCGCAATAAATGATAACCGTTGATTGGCGGAAATCAACGGTTAAGATGTGGTCGTAATATTGTGCGTAACATTATTTGTGTGTCACAATATCCTATCTCATAAGTTAAGGGATATCCTATTGTGACACACAAATAATGTTACGCACAATGTTACGACCACATCTTAACCGTTGATTTTCGCCAATCAACGATTATTATTTTTCAAATCAAACTCATTAATTAATTATTAATTATTAAACTCATTATTTTTGATAGTGAGAATATCCTCGATTTAATATAAAAGACATAAGATAAACAAAATGGTATTGAACATATTTTCAAAATTTAAATGTGAAGACAAATCTACAAACTATTAACTATTAAGAATAAGAAACCAAATAAAAAGACCCTCATCACCTCCTCCCTCTTGTCGGCTATATATCTGCACCAGTATTTGTGTGTTCCCACCCAATTTTGTATCTTTCTCTCTGATTCTCTCTTTCTCCCGAGTTCGCTGATCTGTTCCTTTGATCTCTTCACTCCGAACCCACGGCTGATCCCTCTCTGCATCTCTGTAAGTGAATCTGATCTTCTCCGCGCTGCCATTGTGATTTGATCTGGATGTGTTCGCATTCGATCCGTTGATGCGATAGGATTTCCCGTGATTTGATCTGAAATTGTTCTCGTTCGTTTGAATTTTGATCTTATTGTTTTTTTTTTTTTGAAATCTTGCAGGAAGCACAATGACGGAGGAGCAGGTGGTGAATGTTGGTGGCGGCGAAGAAATCTCCGAGAACGGTGATGATCAGCACAAGATCAAGCCCGAGTACTGCAATGGCGTTCCTCATGCGAAGGAGGAAGAGAATGGTAATGTCGGTGGCAAGGTCGTCGGTGGCGGCAGCGACGCCTCCGGCGATTTTGTCGGCGGAGGCGAGTCGGTTACTGATTCCGGTGCATCGGATCTCGTCATTGTAGCTGACGGAAATGGTGCATCGGAGGAGCATAAGGTGGATGGTGAAGCTATCGGTGAATCTCACGCGACGGTTTCGGAGGGTGAATGCGAGTGGGAGGTGGTTAGCAACAAGGAGGAGAAAGATTGCGCGGATTCTTCGGCAGAGTCTAACGGTTCAGCAGCAGCAGCAGCAGAAGAAATCCCCGAAACGGCAACTGCTGATGTCGTTTCGCGGGAAAGCGAGTCCGAATGTGCAGAGGGTCAAAACGGCACAGGATCTGTCGCCGTTTCAGGAGATAAGAATAATAAGGACGTAACTGATACTGTTGTGGAGGGCGGTAACGAATTCGAAAGTGCAATTGGTGCTTCAGATGTTCAAAACGGTGTGGCTGATAGTGATACTGTTGTGGAGGAGGGAGTTGCGGATCAAGGTCATGAATTCGAAAGTGTTGTTGCTGGTGCATCGGATGTTCAAAACGGTGCGTTGGATAGGGAGCTGAGTGAGTGCACTGTGGAGAACGGGATTGGTGTTGTTGTTAATGTGGATGGAGTTCAGGAATCCGAGAATACATCAGGTACAGAGGTTACTGGAGATGAGAAGGACGTTGTTGTGGAGGAAGTTGCAGATTTGAATGAAAGTGATCAGGGATTGGAAAGTGTAGTTGTTCAAAATGATGAGGAGAATGGGGTTCCTGTTGTTGTGGAAGGAGTGACAGTGACTGCTAAAGATGTGGAGTCTGTGGAGTCTGGAGGTGGAGAGGAGAAGGAAGGTGGGAGTGATGTGCTGGTAGGAAGCGAGACTGTTTCTTATAAGGACATTGTATCTAAAAGTTTAGCTGGTGCAGGTGATGTTCAAAATGGTTTGGCAGATACAGAATTGAGCGAGTGCGTGGAGAAGAATGAGATTGCAGTTAATGTTTATGTTGATGGAGTCTCTGCAACTAGAGATGTGAGGGAATGTGCAGGTGAAGATGCTCAAGACAGTTTAGAGAAAGCAGAGGTTGAGTCTGTCTCTGATATAGTTGTGGATAAAAGTATAGCTGTTGCAGATGTCCAAAACGGTGAAGATGCTCAAGACAGTTTAGAGAAAGCACAGGTTGAGTCTGTCTCTGATATAGTTGTGGATAAAAGTATAACTGTTGCAGATGTCCAAAACGGTGAAGATGCTCAAAACAGTTTAGAGAAAACACAGTTTGAGTCTGTCTCTGATATAGTTGTGGATAAAAGTATAGCTGTTGCAGATGTCCAAAACGGTTTGGCAGAGCCGGAGTTGAGTGAATGCCCTGAGGAGAATGAGATTCCTACTGAAGGTGAACCAGGCAGCAAATTGGAGAGGTCTGAGGAGGATTCGGGACATGAATTAGTTGCTGAAGGAGAAAATTTATCAGCTTTAGACAGCACTGATATGATTGGAGATGGTAATGTTGTGTCTGACATGAATGGCAATGCAGTGGAGAGCAAAGGTGAAGCTTCTGTTGATGTGTGCGAGATAAAAAACAATGCAGTGGAGAGTGAGGATGAGCCTTCAAACAATGTGGTGCAGAGTGAAGTTGATATATCTAACATGAAAACCAATGCAGTGGAGAATGAAGCTGAACCTTCAAACAAAGCAGTGGAGAGTGAAGCTGTTGAAGGTGAACTTTCTGTTGGAGACGAAAGTAGCAGTCATGGAGATGCCCAGGAAGGTTCTACCACTGAAAATTTGGATGGACAGAATACGGGTACAGAGGTAGTGAAGAGTCCATTCTACTATTTGATCAAGCTTCCGAGATACGATGATGATGAAAATATTAAAGAGGAGATAAATAATGCTTTTCGCCAAGTAGATGAGAAGACTAAAATTCGAGATGCAATTCGAAGTGAGATTCAGACTATAAAGGTCAGCAATCAGTGCCATACTTTATTATTTTGATGGCAATATTGATATTAGATAATTATTTTGAGACCAATATTGATATATAATTATTTTGAATGATACTATGATCAGGCTCGTTGTAAGGAGTGCACTGAAGAATTTAGAGCTGCAAAATCAGCAGAGAGAGCTGCTCGGGACTTACTCAGATCCAAACGGCAGGAAATCGATTCAGTTCAATCCACAGTGAGCAGGTTAAACAACATAATTTCTGTTGGCGATATAGATGGCCAGGTATGCCTTCAATTTTCTTCGGGAGATATGTATAAGGATATGATTCTTCTGTCTGTTTTGTTGTTTACTTAGTTAGATATGCGATTTAATTGGCAGATAAGAAACATGGAACACAAGATCCAGCATGAAACTCTGGATCTAAAGGAAGAAAAGCAATTGATACGCCAAATCAAACAATTGAAGCAGAATCGTGAGGAGCTGTCTTCTAATATGGGAAAGCAGGATCAATCACAGCAATCTCTAGATAACAAAGACAGTATTGGAGAGCACTCTAAGGTACCATAGTGAGGTTGCTCTTTATTATATGTCCTAAGTTAACTACCTGATTGCATCTCCCAGCTTCGCGACCATTGATATCAAAACTTATTTTTAGGAGGTTTCTGATGTCTTTGACATGATATATCATTATTTCAATATTTTCAGCATTTACAGCTTTTGAAGAAGGAAATGGAATTGCTTAAAAATAATGTTCAGAAGTCTGAAGCAGCAACTAAAGCTGCAAGGAAGAAAAGTGATGATGAAAACAATAAAATGAGTGAGGTGCTAGCTCGGTATAGGGCTGCTGATGACATTCGTCAAGAGACATATGCTAAGTTACATGCTTTGAAAAAACAATTGCACGAGAAGGTATGATCTTTCTTTCCTTTCCCTTTCATTCCTTTTCTTTTTCATATTTTCTCTTTGAAAAAACATTTGAATGAAAGGTATACCCTTTTGATAAGAACAGAGAGAAACTGATCCTTTGATTGTATTGCTTTAATTATTTACGCATGGGAGCTGCTTATTCACAACGAGGGTAGACAATAGATTCATTTAATGCTGCTTTCTAATTTAGGGGTAATTCTTTACGAGTTCCAATATCAGCTTATAGCAATCCAGTTGCTCACTAAAACACACCGAAGAAAGTTAAAACCATAAAGTAATAACCGTACATTTGAGGGGACGTCTGTATTCTTGCTAGAACCCAAGCAATATGTTCCTGTGTAGTTTGCTATTAAATTGCGCAGCAGATGGCACCCACCTTTGTGGATTTAATACTTAGGCCCTGTTTGGGCAATTAATTTATCTTGTTTTCAAGAGTAGCATATTATCTATGGAAACTCACTACTCCGATTGTAGTGTCTAGAAACTAATCTTGGTAGGCATACACATCTCTGTTGTCAGCCCAACTTTTGTAAGTTTTACTTTTCCTAAAATGTTATTGGCTCAACTTGGTTGTTCTGCAGGATGATGTATTTTTAATTATACTTGGTTAATTTCTTCTTTTCTGGAAGCAAAACATTAAGACTCATTTAAGGTAATTGCAAATGCTAATCACAAATTACTGAGCCTATCATTGTTCACCGTGCTGCAGAGCAAATATTTTTGGGAATACAAAAATGCTGCAAAGAAAGCGCAGGAACTAGCAGCAAAAGGGAAGAGAGAGGAACTGCAACGCATCTGTGTTGATGAGGTGAAACTTTTACCACTTGGAACAAGTGGAGAGATTATCTTCTTTTTTTCTTGCACTCTTACTTATTAGGCAAATGAACTTGAATTATGCACTTACCAGTTAAGCAAATTTAGGCTGAGCGAATACGGGAGCTGTGGGGAAAAAACGATGAGTTCAGAAGGGACTATGCCCGGTGCAACACCAGGAGCACACTGTGGAGACTGCAAACCCTGGATGGCCGATCACTTGGTCAGGATGAAGAGCCACCTGTAATTCCTAATGCCTTCGCTGAAAGAGCTTCCAGAAATAATTCTTTAGCCGTGGTGTCGCAGTCAACTCTGGAACAAGAAAAGAAGTCAATATCAACAGAATCTGTTAATATAAAGAATGAGCCCGTTTCAAAGGACGTGGTTCAAAGAACTGAAATAAGTCAAACAACTAAAGCTAAAAAGCCTGCAAAACCTGCTCCCTTGGAGAAGCCAATGGTTGCGCGTTGGGGGGATGAGTCTGATGAAGATACGAGAGAAGAACCTGTGAGGACAAAGGAGGAAGAGGAGCTGATCTTAAAGGCCGAAAAGGCGAGGAAGGAAGAGGAAGCAGCAAAGTTGAAGGAAATGCGGAGGCTAGAGGAGATTGAGAAAGCTAAGGAGGCAATGGAAAGGAAAAAGCGTAATGCAGAGAAGGCTATACAAAGGGCTGCCTTAAAGGCACAAAAAGAAGCTGAGGAGAGAGAGAAGGTAATCGCATATATATTATTATATAGACTCTTAGCTATTTATCTGTTGTTCTTCAGCTAACTATATAATCATTCATGTTTGGTGCAGAAGAGGGAGAAGAGAGCAAAGAAGAAGGAAAGAAGAACTTCAGCTTCTGCTGACACTGCAGACAATACACAACAAGAATGTGCTCCTAGCTTAGAAACTCAAACAACAATTACAGAAGAATGTGATCAGAGTGAGAAACCAGCTGAGATAACAAGAAGGCCGCAGAAACCATCTCATTTCACGAGGCTGACCAAGATAAAATCTTCCTTGCCGATGCCTCTCCGCAACCGGGGGAGGAGACGAATTCAACCATGGATGTGGGTTCTAATTGCAGTTCTTGTTGCTGTTGTCATGCTTTTTGTGGGAAATAGCAGCTCTCTGAGATCTTCCCTGCCACGCTTTGGTTTCTGAGTGCACTTCAAAGAACATTTGCTTTGAAACTAGGCAAACACTGGTGTTTGTCGGGGAATGCGAGTTACCCTTACATATTTATTATATACATACGTATAGAAACAATTCTTTGGTGCCCTTAAAATTCTTTCCACCTAGTTTTTCGTATCTAGTCATGAATATTATTTTCTTCAAACCAAGGTGTTTTTCTGGGATTTGATGTGAATTTAGCTGCTGCTGAGTGCTTCTGCCTCTAATTATGACAATAAATTATTGTGATTGTGCCTATTTTATATTCACTGTCGGTTTTATTATTTATTTTTCTTCTTTCTATCGTGGCTACTTTTCAATTACTACGTTTGAAGCTACTTTATGTTAACACTTTATTTTTATTGGGATAAAAAAATTATTTTTGTTTTATTCTTTATAAAAAAACAAATTGGAGTTGCTAGAATGAAAAGTTCACCAAATCCCTTTAACATTCAAGCTAAGCACAGAAGAAGACGCAAACTTGGTCAGCAACAAATGAAAATTTTTACATTTTGACGGAGTTAAGGGTTTGATCATGTAATATATGTTCACAATCCTTAAGAAATCATGGACTAGTCATATTTTTACTAGGGGTGTTTGGAGTCTGGATTAGATCGATTTTGGAAGAAAAAAATCATTTGTTCCAATTCTTTCGGTTTGATCATATAATCATCCATTCGGTTTGGATTTTTTTTCCAAATCCGATCGATCCAATCCAATTTTTTTCGGTTTGGATTGGATCGGTTTTTGATTTTTTGAAAATTCTAAAATTTATTTCATGATTATTGTGCAAATAACATCTTTTGTATATATTGGCTTTGTAAAAAAAAATTGAAATAAAAAAGCATTAGTAAATTGTAATCTAATTTATTTATTTTTGCAAAGAGATATGAAGTTCTACAAAGATAAAATTTCGTTGATGAGATGTAACTAGAATTTTTCTTGGGTTTAGATGATGGGTTAATGGGTCTTGGGTTTAGAAATTTTTAGGCTATGATTAGGGAAAGACCCAAGTAGGTAGAGGAAAATTAATATATTGGATCGGTTTGGATTGGATCGATTTTCATCAACCCATCCAAAAATCGATCCAATCCAATTAAAATTTGCGGTTTTTTTTTTTTCGGTTTTTGGTTTTTCGGTTTTCGATTTATTCGGTTATCGGTTTTTCGGTTCGGTTACCGCGGTTTGAATCGGTTTGGATCAGATGATGAACACCCCTACTTTTTGCTTGAGCATATCACGGCACCTCTTAGCTTTTTTCCCGGAGACTATCATCCATGAATCCTTAATGATGAGAGGACCGTAATACTGGATCATTTCACAGTCCGTTTCCTGATACACAAGATCCTTTTGCATGACAAGTGCAGAGCATACTAGCTTTCTGATCTAGAGATTAGCAATTATAGTAACAACATTATACTCTGTTTTCGGAGAAAAGAAAGAACTTTTAGAAACTCGTAAGGATATAATACACAGACTTTATTTCTTGCAAACTCATTCTGCCAATACAAACACTGAAGTTTCCTTTTATAGGCAAGGAAACGATAATAACAAAAAATATAATAATTTAACAGAAGACACCTCATCAGACATAATAATACAAATGACAAACAACTTTTCAAAAATTTGAATTATTGGGTATACACTTTATATTACAACCATACACGTGTCTGATGAGGTGGCTCATTATCAGTAGTGATGGTACTAATGGACAGATTTAGAGCCATTCTTTCTTCTGAGTGGATATCACCATACATATCTTTCCACCATGGCTTGTCAGATTTGGCTTTTTCTTCAATTATTTCTGCCATGACATCAGCATTCGGATCTTGCCAGATCATATTGTCTTCAGGGTTTTTGGTTTCTGTAATTAGGTCAAAAACCAACTCAATTTCCATTGGATCTGGGCCTTGAGAAGAGCTCGGGCCTTGTAAAAAGCTTGACTGAACTGTTTGATACTCCGGATTAGGGTTGCAAAACGGGCCAACCCGGCTTGACCCGGCCCAACTCGCATGCAACCCAAAAAAATGAGCTAGGTTAGGGTTGGCTCGAAAAAAAATGAGCCAGAAAATCCAACCCAACCCGACCCGAGTCGGGTTAGGGTTGGCTCAAAAAATATAGTTCGTGGGTTGGCTTGAAAAGATAGCTCGCTAGTTGACTCGAAAATTGCTCGCGGTTTGGCTCATTTTCAGCCTATTTAAATGAACCTGTAGTATTAATACACCAGCTATGTGGCTTCCATCAGCTTAAACAAAGGGTTACAAAATGAGAAATAAAAGCAAAATATTCTAGTTTTGAATTTTCTTCACAACAAATTTGCACCAACATCAAGAAACAATCAGAATCACTTGCTACCAAGTGGGTAAAATATTTGATCTAAATAGAGCCAACACAGCCTAGCAATATAAAAATGGCAGGGATGTGAGAACATTAGGGACTTAGGTTTAGAGAAGGAAGAAAGATGATGACAGCATGTATGGATTTTGTCCATTTTAGTATATTATATTTTGTATTTTTTTATAAAAAAAAACTCAACCCGCGAGCTAGCCCATTTGACCCGCGGGTTGGCTCATTTTTTCCCGAGCTGACTCGAGTCGGGTTGGTAGCTCATTTTTGCCAACACAACCCCACTCATTTTTTACGGGTTACGAGCCATTCCGACGGGTTGTCTCATTTTTGTCAACCGTAATCCCGATCTTCAAACCCATTGAGCTCTTTGACATGTTTCAACAGAGAGGTCTTAAAATAAAGATCTAGTGGGTAGTCATTGAAGTATCCCCATAGATATACAATATTATGTGACCATATGAGTCCATCTGGCCTTTGCCAATATGGCCTGTGAATGATAAAAATGGCAGTGATCTTTGAAATCTCTCTTTTTGTTTTACCTTCTTGTTCCTTGGATAAAATGATCTTGTGCAGTTCTTTTCTCCACCATGACAAAGGAGAATACCATTCTAGAAAGGTCTATAAAAAGTAGTCTGAATTGTCAGGATCCATGAGAATCTCATAAGTTCTTTGTATTTTAAGAACATGAGGGACTGAGTGATTGATTGTGAGACACCATATACACCAAAGAGTCTTTTCAGTAATGTCAAAACCTACATCATAAAAAACTTCAAACACCTGCAAATAAGGAGTTTTTGGATGGAAGGTTGAAGGTGTGACTTCTTTTGTTTTCATGATCTCATGCAGGTAATAAAAGTAATAATCATTGGCGAACATTTGGATTTGGTCAACTGAGGTGAGTTGTCCTAATTCTGGAGGATAGTCTCTTTTGTGCTTGGCTATTTTGGGTAATGGTCCATGCATGAGTATTAGAGGAAAAGGAACACTGGATATATTGGAGATGACCTGAATAGGAACTTTAGGTCAGGATAAAAAAAATGAGGGATGGTGTTGAGGTTTCCTTTAATATGCTTTATAGTGAAATTATACCTTGAAAACCAATCTTTTAGTCTGAAGATTTGAGAGTCTGGTGGCAATTTGTTTTTGAATTCCAAAATCTTTGGAAAAGATGAGTTATCCATCTGGACTTCAAAATTATGACCACAGAGATGAAAATCAAATTTCTTGATTCCATTTTTGACTGTCAGTGCTTCTTTGTAAGTGGTATGTAATGCTCTTCAACATCTATAAATTGACCACTTGCATGTCCACAATAATATTTCTTGTTATCAACTTCTTCTATAAGGACAGCTCCCCAAAAATGATCACTTGCATCTGTTGGGAGAATTCTTTTGCCAATATTAGGAATCTTCAAAGCTGGTAGATTCTGAGAAATCTTCTTCAATTCTTTGACTGCTTGGGTTTGTTCTGAACTCCAAGGAGAAGGATTTTTCCTTAGAAGTTTAGACAAGAGGCTGATATATTTGGCTGTAGGAGGAATGAAATCTCTAACATAATTAACAATTCCTAAGAACTGCTGAATTTGCTTAACAGTGAGATTTTCATCTGGGAAATTAGGCAGCTGTGGGAGATCTACAACATGATCTTGAAGTCTATAGATCATCTGATGGTGAAGAGTTACTACATATGTAACACCCCATAAGTATCCGGTAATGTTATCATACTATCGTATTAAGCAGCGCTTAATTAAAAATGCGGAATATCTTTTTCTTTTCAATTATGATGTCATTATCATTACCAACTTGCTTATTAATCAATTAATAAAACATCGCCTGTATGTAATTGCAATAAAACAGCTATCTGAAAATACCTCATAACATAGATAATAAAAGTGTGGCTCTAGTCACGGAACTACAACAACGTAGACCGGACCATCTAACAGTTTATACAACTCCAATCTAAAGCACTAACATAAAGTGTCATGGACAATCCCCATGCTCACTCAAATAAGGCAACACGCCAAATATCAGTCTCAACAACAACATAAGCATAAATAGCGGAAAACATAAACAACATCCATATCCAGTCATGGCAGCAATACAGCATAATATCATCAACTAAGCTCTGGCCTCCTGCCGCCAGAGGCATCAGTCACCAAACTACCGGAACCTGAAATAAGCATTCCCCAAACGTGGGGTGAGATCTCTAAACAAGAAATCTCAGTAAGACAAGGGGTCCTCAAGGATCTTCCACCCCAAGCTCACTTACATGTGCAATATAAGTTCAAAAGCAGTTTATCATCATCAGTTCTAAAATAGTGCAGCAGATAATCATGTCATGTGTGTCAATTCTATTCTACTGGCCAGAGAAATACAGGATTTATATACGTCTAATACCCACAAATAGTGCAAGACGCTACTTGCATCCACCCCGGATCACCGTCTTGTATGACGCTACATACTCAGGTTTACCGTCAAGATGGAACAACACATGCATATTAAAAGCCATTACACATAAAGCTCAACAGCATTTCAAATATTCAAAGCATGTAACACAGCATGCATACGACCACACCCCCATGGGACATGGTGGAACCACAACATGGCTAAACCGAGGACACGAAAGCTTACCTTGCAAGCTAACACCCACAGCCAAGAGTCCACAACTCAAAGTCCAAACACAGCAGATTCACAATCTATTACGGACCAATACTATATCAATAATAATGCACCACAAGCATATAACTTAAAGACAACGCCTTTCCTTACGTTTTACGACTTAAGGCTCCATACCAAGCCATAAGTGCTTAATC